GTTTACGTTGAATGCAGGGAGCAGACATTGCAGTTTGTGGCTTACGGCCTGTCGAAAGGTGGCCAGGCTCGATAAGCAGGAAGCAGTCATTATATAAGTCTTTCACTGTAGGATAGATCAGGACAACAGATAATCGAAAGGTCACGTTTCCAAAAGATCCAAACACGTGCTTATTGTTACGTAATTGACCGAGTTTTGGTAATTGACAGAGTTTTAATAAGTGACAGAGTTTTCGTAATGGACCGAGTTTTGGTGATTGACAGAGGTATTGTAAATCGACCGAATTTTCGCAATTGACTATTTTTATAAGCATTGATTGACCAAAAAAACATATGGAACGTGCTTGTGTAATGCAATGCACTGATAAGTGTGACATTCAAGCGTGAACGCAATTGACAAACAAATATTCAATTACATCGAAATGACAATTTTGAACCATTCCGCGCGCCATATCTTCTCGCCAGGTTGACTTCTTTGGTCACTGCTTTTTATAAGCTTTGTTTACAGCTTTATCGGTATCTTTGATGAATACTCTCAAAAATCTGTTGTCTGGCTCTTGATCTGAATGTACATCATTCGCATTTAGAGTTTTAGATATCAGGACCGTATCTTGCACCATTTTTTACATGCGTATTTTTTTGCCCTACTTCAACAATATCTGAGTAGCGCAGGCGAGCAGCGACACTAATCTTGGGTCATGCGTGAAGTTCAATGTTAGAACTTGAATGTTGGATTGTAATCCAACAATGACGGAAAGATTATGTGTTTGTATCTAAAAACTTTAAAACCTTAGTCCTTGAACGAGAAAATCTAATGGTTCATTTTAATATATTGTTTAGGAAATAACGTTCTCAAATTAAGTTGAATGTTGAAATTGATGTATATCAAAAGAGCAATGTTGAATCTTGTCCAGGCACGGAAAGCTATTAAAGAATGTTCAATCGTGGAACTCGAATGTTGGACGAGATTACAGCTAAGTTGAAATCGAAATCTTCAATGTCGGAAAAGCAACTAACAATATTGCATTGCAAGTGAAACACTGAATTCTTTATTAGAATGTTGAAAACCTGATGTTGAATTTTGTCGGGAATATAACGCCATATCATTTGGCCTCCCCGCAACTGCAATTTTAGGGGAATGTACTTTTTTCACGTGCCTGCCTCGTTGTGCTGTTTGGTCGCGCGTGATCTCTTTTACGCAACTTGTTGCGCCCCCCGCAACTTCAACTTCAGGCGTGGCAAATAATCTTTCCTCGCTCTCCTAGTTCATATATTATTTATCTCACAAACGATTTAGGGACAATTTAAGGGGAAAGCAAAGCAATTTTATTAGCTCTATCGATGCTTTTGTGGGCAGTGTTTATGATAAATTGTATTCTCGTCAAACAAAATTGATTTTATTTGGATTTTTTAAACGCAGTGTCTAAATGCCCGGCAGCCGGTCGCGGTCTAACATTAACCAAATGTCCGGCAGTCCAAACTTTCACCAAAAAAAACGAGAACTGGCTACAGCTATTGGAATCAAACTAGTCTAACTTTATTATGGTATATTAAGCACTTCCTGTAGTCTGGACTGATTCGAAAAAAGATTGTCTGTATTCGCTCGGCATAGAATACGGAGCACTTGGTTCATGTCACTTAGAATATTTTCGCCAACACTGCCGGTCGCAATTTTCGCAAAAAATACGATAAATTACCTACGTTAATGAAGCCAAACTAGTCTAAATTTATCGAGGGATATTAAGCGCTTCTTGCACTCTACACTGCTTCTAATAAGGATTGTTTGTCTTTGCTCGGCATAGAATAGTATTTTTTTGCGAAAGTTTGGACTGCCGGGCATTTAGTGTATTTGAGACCGCGACCGCCAGTGTTGGTGAAAATATTCTAAGTGACATGAACCAAGTGCTCAGTATTCTATGCCGAGCGAATACAGACAATCTTTTTTCGAATCAGTCCAGACTACAGGAAGCGCTTAATATAACATAATAAAGTTAGACTAGTTTGATTCCATAAGCTGTAGCCAGTTCTCGTTTTTTTGGTGAAAGTTTGGACTGCCGGGCATTTAGTCAATTTTAGACCGCGACCGGCTGCCGGGCATTTGACACTGCGTTTTTTAAAACCATCTCTACTACATAGATGTTCTCCCTGAGTAAAGTTAGTATTATATAAATACCAGCTTACTTTTGAACCGTATGACCTACATGTAGCTGTTTAGCTTCCCTCTATTGCTAAGCCATCCATTTGTAAGTTTATATATTTACAAAAAATAGATAGCGACTTTTTATTGGGTTTTTTTTTTTTTGAGTTTACGGTGCCCTTATTGTGCCCTTATAAGGGCATCGAGACTCTATGCTATCGCCTCCGTGGGTTACTACTTCATGTACGACCTCATGAAGTGGCACTATTATATATAATACGGCGATGTTTATTGTAGTGTGCCACGTCATGAGGTCTTACATGAAGTAGTAACCTCCGTGAGTGAAGGAGTAAGACTTCCCAGCATTCATAGCGAGCACAACAACCATGAAAAGCAACGGATAGAACTTGACTGGGATCGTTGGCCACGGACTTTCAGTCACAAATCGAGTTTTTGGTGAGTATTTGCCGTATATTATTGTCTTAGTGACTTTCTTTTAGTAAATAACAGCTTTTAATGGCGTTTTCATTTCAAGAAATGCCTTGCTGTGGCAGTATATGTGTAAAACATTAACAAAACTAAATTGTACTGCTTGGTGAATATTATTTCTTTGGTTTCTTTTGTCGCACAAAAACTGAATTATACTATTAAGTATTATCGTCTTTTAAGGCCTATTTACACGGCACGATTTGCCGCGCGCGACTTGACGTATACGGCAAAATCAGCTCAAAATCGGGTCGTGTAAATGGTCCTACGACAGACGTACGCGGCCTCAAGACTTGTCGTAGCATTTCAAACTTTGGCTTAAAACCCTACGACATGCCGTAGGAAAATGACGTAAAAATGACGTTTTTGAGCGAGATTGGCTATGGAACTAGTTGATTCCAAAACAAAATGGCGGATTTCCATGAAAACGTTTTTACCGGTAATTAAACACGAAGTGCAAAAATTCTGAATGATCTCATCAAATAACAAGGTAGACATGATTATTTACTGCACTTCTCAACTGTGAATGGTGGCATTTTACAAGAAACATTTGTGTAATGAGAAATAGTCATGTAATTTGACGAGTAAATTGCTCGCGTTTTTTTCGTACCGCGTGCGAAAAGTTGTGCTCGTGTAAATGGTACCAAAATTTGCCGTATACGTCAAGTAGCGCGCCGCAAATCGTGCCTTGTAAATAGGCCTTTACACATTAAATATTTGCGCTCTTCTCGTTTAAGTTGCCGTTTGTAGATTCTTCAGGCATGCAGATGTAGCTAGATGTCTCTAATGTATTCGCATTTTGTTAGTGCCGTTTTTTTTCACAATTAAGC